TATTCTAAATTATTATTTTAAATTATATTAGATTATTATTTATATTATTATTAATTATTAGTAAAATTATATACTTACTATTATTATAATAATTATTCAAATAATCATCTGTATAATTATTTAAATTATTATTTAATTTATCACTTAATTTATCTAGCTTATTATTTAATTTATCACTTAATTTATCTAGCTCATTATTTAATTTATCATTTAATTTATCATCTAATTCATTATTTAATTCATCATTATATCTATTTTCTAATTCATTATCAAATTCATTATCTAATTTACTATCAAACTCATAATTTAATTCATCATTTAATTTATAATTAAATTTATTATCTAATTCATTATCAGAACTATCACTAGATTTATTATAAGAATTATTATTAAATTTATTATTTAAATTATTCTCTAAATCATTATTTTTTTTATTATTTAATTCAAGTATATTAGATATATTTTATTTTGAATATTGTTATTTTTATAAATTTTTTAAGTAATATGTGCTAATTATAATTTATAATTGTTATATATATATACTAATTTAAAAACTCTTGGTTTAATTAATCTTTGTCTTTTTTTATTATAAATAAATAAATATTTGACCAATTTCTTTCTGTAGTAGCTAAAGAAATTAGAATAGATAATATTTTACATGCTAATTTAGTTAATTTAAGAACAGATTCTTGAAATTATCCTTTCATCATATTATTAGATTAATTTGGTCTACTGATTTTCATAATAATTGATTATCAAAAAGCTTATTTTTAGTTTTATATTGAATAATTTATTGCCAAACAAATGAAGAATCATGTATATAATATTTAATAATAAAGTTTGAAATAGTAGTCATATAATTATTTGGTAATCCATTTCTAGCAATTTTAGAATTAAGAAAATTTGCAATTTCCATAATAGGGTGATACAATTTGATCTATTTATTTTTTAATATATTTTTAATATCATCTATAGTTATTAATATAATTAATAATTTAATTAGTTAATAAATAATTAATAATAAATTTTAATTAGATTT